TTCCATTTCCTCTTTTTAAAATCAATGAAAATAGCCCTAACTGGTTTGGCTCAGTGGCTAGAGCGTCGGCCTGCGGACAGAAAGGTCCCAGGTTCGATTCCGGTCAAGGGCATGTACCTTGGTTGCGGCCACATCCCCAGTAGGAGGTGTGCAGGAGGCAGCTGATCGATGTTTCTCTCTCACTGATGTTTCTAACTCTCTATCTCTGTAAAAAAATCAATAAAATATATTTTAAAAAAATAAAATAATATCAGTGAAAATATCCTCAGGTGAGGATAAAAAAAAGGTATACCTACCTGAAAAGTGTCACCAATCAAATTAAATGAGAGAGTGAATTATGCATATAGGAGATAATATGGGAGATAGCAATGTCAGACCTTGTGGATCTTCTCAAAAGAAAATTACTGGTCACATGGCAAGTTTTTAAAACATTAGGAAATAATTTAAAAGACATCATCTGAACTATTAGCATCAGAGGGCTAATAATGGTGCTTGTTTGAGAGGCCTTCCACAGGACGGATTTGTAATAGCCTCTGGGGCTGTTCTTAGTTGGGTAGGTTGTAGCACTTCAAAGTCCTCTCAGTCTAGCCCACTTCTTCGTTTCTGTTAAGTCTTATTCTGACCATGAGAAAGTGTGCACTAGGGGCATGATTTCAGCACTGGTTGATGCCACTATAAGCGGCCCAGAATGAAGAAAGACACAAGCTTCCGGCCCCCGTGCTGTCATTTCTTAACCGCCTTTAGCAACAGGTCAAGGCACGTGTCTCACCATCTGGTGCCAGATAAGATGACTTTGAACAGACATGGCAGCTGCCTGCAAGAACGTGAAGGGATGACATGTGGACAAAGAAGTAGATTCACCTGTTTGAAGTTCCAACAGGCATGACCAGATTCAGTGGATGGGATCTTAGGGAGGCAGATTTCAACTAGATAAAAGAGAGAGCTTTCTACTGATTCAAAGCATCCAGTAATGGCCTTGAAGTTTCATGGTGCTTCAAGTGCAAGTATGTGACATGAGAAGATCAGCCACCAGAAACAAGACGGAAGGAATTCCAACACTGAGTAGAAGCTCAACTTGGCTGATCACTACAACCTGTTCCGTTCTTGGCATTATTGATAAAATAATTTGAGGAGTGGCAGTAGGAAGGGGAAGACATAAGAAAACAGGTAATTTTTTCTTGAGAAGATCCACAACGTCTGACATTGCTATTTCCTATATTATCTCCCTGGGAGGCATTCTGCTCCTACATGTACAGTGGCCAAAAGGGCAAACCATTTCAGTGATTGGGAATATATTTATTTTAACATTTGCACAGAATGTTATGGAGGAGACACTAGAAGTAAGTGTAGGGTCATCTATCTTAATCTACACTAATAAAAGACAAACATGCAAATTGACTGTACCTTTGCTATGCCTTAAGCTACGCCCACCAGCCAGTCAGAGCACGTATATGCAAATTAACCCAACCAAGATGGCGGCCAGCAGCCATGGAGCTGTAGCAAGCAGGAGGCTTGGTTGCCCCAATGATGGAGGAAGCCAAGCTTCCCGCTTGCTGTGTCGGGCTCTGAGCTCCACTCAAAGCAACAAAGTTTCAATTATAGAAGGTAAATGAACCCCAGATACCTGCTTTCAGCCGGCTGTGGCCACAGAGCTAGAGTGAGCAGGAGGCTTCCCTCCCACCTGCCCTGGCCAACTCTGAGCTTTTCTCAAGGCTACAAAGTTTCAATTATAGAAGGTAAATAAGTTCCAGAATTAAAAAAAAGAAAAGAAAAAAAGGAGAGGCTGGGAGGTTCTGTCGCCAGGGGGCTTGGCAAGCCTGAAAATGGCCCTCAGCCCCTCACCCAGACTGGTCAGGCACCCCAGTGGGGACCCCCCACCCTAAAGGGGGTGTGGCCAGCCTGAAAACAGCCATCAGCCCCTCACCCAGGCTGGCCAGGCACCCCAGTGGGGACCCTCACCCTGATCCGGGACACCCTTCAGGGCAAACCAGCCAGCCCTCACCCATGTACCAGGCCTCTATCCTATATAAAAAAAGGGTAATATGCAAACTGACCCTAACAGCAGAACGACTGGGAATGACTGGTCACTATGACACACACTGACCACCAGGGTGCAGACGCTCAATGCAGGAGCTGCCCCCTGGTGGTCAGTGTGCTCCCACAAGGGGAGCTCTGCTCAGCCACAAGCCAGGCTGATGGCTGCCAGTACAGCGGTGGTGGTGGGAGCCTCTCCTGCCTCCTCAGCAGCACTAAGAATGTCCGACTGCAGTTTAGGCCTGCTCCCCGCTGGCAAGTGGACATCCCCCAAAGGCTGCCGGGCTGCCAGAGGGATGTCTGACTGCCAGCTTAGGCCCAATCCCCGAGGGAGCAGGCCTAAGCCAGCAGATGGACATCTTCCGAGGAGTCCCACTGCAAGAGGGCATAGACCAGGCTGAGGGACCCCCTGAAGTGCACAAATTTTTGGCACCAGGCCTCTAGCCCTATATAATAAAAGGCTAATATGCAAATTGCCCCCTCGTGAGTTCAACTGGGAGACTGGAAGTTTGATTGCTTGCTATGAGGTGCGCTGATCACCAGAGGGCTGCACAGAACATGGCAGGCAACCAGTGGTGGTGGCTGGGCACTGAGGGAACCAGGGAAGGAGGAAGCAGGGAGGCAGGGAGGCGGGAAACCTGATCGGGCCTGATCGCCGGCCAGGCCTAGGGACCCCATCTGTACACTAATTTTGTGCACCAGCCTCTAGTACTATATAATGTATCACACACAGATTAAGATTCCTTTCTCTGAAAAAGCTGTGACTGAGCAATGGTGACACAGCAGCTCCTGAGCCTGACAATAAACAAACACCTTATAAAAATGTATGAAGTTCAGGTTGTAAAGAACACACTGCACATACCAAGTGAGTAGCATTTCTTATGAAAATAATTTTATCTGTAAGTCCATTGTTTCCATATGGCTTATAACAGAAGCTCATGCTATGGCTAGATGCCTCAACAGCCTGTGAACTTTTATATGGGCTTTCGAAAGGGGATGATAGTTTTATGAGATATGATTTTCTCATCTCACCAAATTAGATTATCTGAGATAGCGTCCCTGGATGTGAAATTTCCATCCTGAGTAGATCTGCACCTCCTGAGACTCTGTGCAGCCTGCTAGCAGAGTGGAAATGGAGCATAATAAATCTGCCCCGAGCCCATTTCTCTCCACACAACTCCATAATTCATCCTTTGCTTGATATCCATGACCACTTTTTTTTTTTTTACAGCTAATCAGTCTGCATCCTGGCTGGCTCCCTTCATGTGCAATATCTCCTCCTTGGTCCAGATCTCGGCTCCTGGCATGCTCTTCTGCTTCCATGCTTCTTTCTAGAGCCAGATGCCATCAAGGACCCTGGATCCAAGCTGTTCCTAATCATGTGGCCAGCAGTTACTCTAGTTACAGGGTGGCCTATTTGTTGTCTTATACTTGAAAATATATGTTCTGTTTAAAATGGATGAAGACAGCAGCATCTCTGGAGTACCTCTGTGACCCAATATTTCCGTTATTCTCTCCTGTGTCTCCTCTGAGGGGTCAGAGGAGTGACCTGCTACTGAAGCCACATGGCTCTGTGTTCCAGTCCCTCCCATGAGGAATGCTTCTTTGTCGCTCCTGTGGCTTTCTACCCTTTCCTCTGCTTCAGCATTGCTTTGGTCCAATAGCATTGCCACCGTCTGCTGACACTTCACCAAGAATGGCTCCAGGTGACTCTCCAGGAGCTTGGGAATAAAGAAGAGTTTAGGAAAATATTCTCCAAGGTGGAGTAAAGTCAGTCCTACTCAACTGCACTGGAAGTTAAATGCGTTATTTGCATGCCTATCACCAAACTTAATTATTTTTATAATATGGGGGAAGGAACTTATTTTTATTTTATTTATTTTTTAAAAATATATTTTTATTGATTTCAGAGGGGAAGGGAAAGGGAGAGAGAGATAGAAACATCAATGATGAGAGAGAATCATTGACTGCCTGCTTCCTGCATGCTCTCTACTGGGGATCGAGCCCACAAACCAGGCATGTGCCCTTGACCAGAATTGAACTCAGACCTAGACCCTTCAGTCTGCAGGCTGACACTCTACCTACTGAGCCACACTGGCTAGAGTGGGGAAGGAATTTATTTTTACTGATTCTCACCATCATGTGCAAAATAAGCATCAGTATGTGAATTTTAAGAGAGAAAATTCTATAAATTATGAATTATGGAGGCATGGAAAATTGTCCTCTCATCCTTCCTACAATTAATTCAATAATTATTGTCTTGAGATTATGTCAATGGAACCTGGGTCTTTGGAAGGAGAGTTATCAAGAGGATTGTGCTACCCCACAGAGTGTAGACCAGCGGCCACTCAGAAATTACTTTGCGTAGAAGCCAGGTGATCAGCTGCAGCTTGGCCAGGGGGCAGGCACCTAGAGCAGCAGTTTGATGGAGAATGTAAGAATAGTGTGCTCAGTGCCACACAAAACTGGCAGCAGAAGCAATGGCATCTAGTTTGCTGGTTTCAGGGAAAGAGTTATCTTTATGTCCTTCAGTGATTTTAAAGACTCTTAACTGAGTAGCTCCTTTAATTTTTTTAAAATGCTTTCATCTGAATTTACTCATTCACATTATTTCCAACTCCCTGAATTTGTTAAGAGCCTCCATGCCTTACCATGTTTTACAGAGGAAAATAAAGCACTGAGAAGTTACCTAATGAGCCCAGAGTGGCACAGCCCAGTAGTGGCAGAGCAGGACTGGGGGCTCCCCAAGGAGGGGGTTCCTAGCTCCCAAAGTCGGTGCACCAAATGGCAGCATCAGCGTCACTTGGATGCTTGTTAGGAATGCAGAATCTCGGGCCTTGCCTCAGACCTGCTGAATCTGAATCTCCATTTTAAACCTCGAGGTGTTGCATGTGCACATTGAAGTCTGAGGACAGTAATGAGGTGGAGCCATCACTCTCCGCTAAAAGTTCCTCTCTGTTTTCAGCACACGGCCAGCCCTTTCGGCTCACTGAGAGGCTGATCTGTAAAGGGAAACATGCCTGAGGTGACTCAGGACAGCTTCCTGGACTTTATAGGTGAAATAAAACAGAGCGTTACTCCCCCCTTCAAAATATTTTGAGGGGTTATTAAACTGATAAGAACAGATACTACACTTGATCTTAGCCAAAAGGCCGAGAAGCGATTGAGGGTTTATTTAGAGCCACACAAATCAATCGATGAGCAGGATAGGGAATGCTTATGTCAGCTAAAGGCTTTATAAGTTCATTTCTGGGTAAACAGCCTTCTAATATGACCACCTATGTCATCCAAATCCCACTTGAACAGGACAAGGGGGCAACATATCTGATTAGACATCTGAGTGATTAGAATGCTTCTGTTTCTGAAATGACTTCAGGATGCTGAAGTTGGTGGACACCCTAATGTCCAAATTCTGAAAATAGTCATTCTAGATGTTTTAAAAGAATATGGCTTTAAAATCCTCCTATATAATAAAGAGGTAATATGCAAATTGACTGTCATGCCCTCGCACAAGATGGCCACCACAAGATGGCTGGCAGGGGAGGGCAGACCAGGCCAGCACGGGAGGGCAGTTGGGGGTGACTGGGCCTGCAGGGGAGGGAGGGCAGTTGGGGGGGACCAGGCCTGCAGGGGAGGGCAGTTGGGGGCAACCAGGCCAGCAGGGGAGGGCAGTTGGGGGCAACCAGGCCAGCAGGGGAGGGCAGTTGGGGGCGACCAGGCCAGCAGGGGAGGGCAGTTGGGGGCGACCAGGCCAGCAGGGGAGGGCAGTTGGAGGCGACCAGGCCAGCAGGGGAGGGCAGTTGGGGGGGACCAGGTCTGCAGGGGAGGGCAGTTGGGGGTGACCGGGCAGGTAGGAGAGGGCAGTTAGGGGCAACTGGGCCAGCAGGGGAGGGCAGTTGGGGGCGATCGGGCCAGCAGGGGAGCAATTAGGTGTCAATCAGGCCGGCAGGGGAGTGGTTAGGGATTGATCAGGCTGGCAGGCAGAAGCTGTTAGGGGCAATCAGGCAGGCAGGCAAGCGAGCATTTGGGAGCCAGCAGTCCCGGATTGTGAGAGGGATGTCCGATTGCTGGTTTAGGCCCGATCCCGCAGAGACATCCGGCAGTTGGACGTCCCTTGAGGAGTCCCAGATTGGAGAGAGTACAGGCTGGGCTGAGGGACACCCGCCCCCAGTGCACGAATTTTGTGCACCTGGCCTCTAGTGTAATTATAAAAGTAACTGAATAACACCAAGTATGGGATATAAATATGCTTTAATTACTAACCTGATAGTCATTAACTTCTCCAAGAAGTTGATTTTGCACAGTCAACTAAAAGTATGCATTCAGTCACTACCATATGCAAGTATGTTAGTGGAGATAATATTGCCTAAGTAGAGAATATTTTACATGTTCCCTTTTTCTTTCATCATCTTGCAAAAGAACCAGTTGGCTTTGAAGCAGTCCTGCCAGCCACACAACATGACAACTCTTGATAGTGCCAACATAACTGAATGGGACAGATGACTGATTTATTTTGTCCAGAGATATTTAGGACCACCTAAACATACTCTGGATTCTAGGGCATCTGATATCAAGTTGTAAATTAAATGATAATGGATGACTTAGTCCTTACATTCCTTCAGAGTCCCTGTGATCCCCCAAATAGGGAAACTCTTGCCAGTTCCCTGATGTGACCATCTGAAAGGGTCATTTGTGCACATGTTGCTTTGCACATACGAGCGCAGAAAATGGAATAAGAGTGCCAATCTTTACATGTGAAATATGTGATGCATGTGATCCATGCAGTTTTTATGTGAGAGGCAGATGCAACATGCCCTTTGTATGATGACTTTATCTTTGATTCCTGTCCCTGTTGATTTCTGTGGCACTTGCTTTCAGTTTTACAGGTGGAATGACATTATTTTCTGGCTGAAGTACCGTGGGTCAACTTCCTTCTTCAACTGCAGCTCATCTACTGCTGAGATTTTCCATCTCTCCAGGCTGTCATTATGTTCCACCACATTATGCAGCACTGGTTCTTTTGGTATTATTTTTTCTCACTTACTTGTCTTATATTCTTTTACCTTTTTTCAATTCATTGCATTGTACCCTGTCAGATCATGTGATTCACCAAAGACCTCAACTGGGATAAGGCTACATATATAAGTAAATCTGTGTCAATAAGTTGCTGCTGGAGTGTACCATTTATGTAGAGAAAAATATTCTCAATAGACAATCTAGTTTATTCTGAGAATTTTAAAACATTACCACCTTTAGGGGTGTTAGGGTCATTTTTGGAGTGAGAAAATCAATTGGATCTGAGATAACCAATCTTATATAGTGTTGCATTAGTGAGCATTATGCTTTTGACATAAGAAGGAAGGAATATTCCAGCTACATTGATATTGTATATGTCATCAAGACAAGTTTACAAAGAAAGACAATGGAAAAGATAATTCTTCAGCATGGTTCTCCAAGTTGAGTAGCTTATAAACTTTATCAATCGTTAGAGAGTTATGATTTTACCTAATGCTGTTTGTATTTGGAGTACCATTTGTTATTAAATTTTTATTTAAGTTCTGTGATAGAGCTGGAGACAAATAGTGTTACCTTTTTTTCTTGGGTCATAATTAAACATCTTGTACATGTTCATGTCTGGAGAGTAATATTGACTGTTTGTTCTTCTTCTCCACAGCTCTTTGCACTAATGTTGAGCCAAATGATTGGATCTTATTCAAAAGTTCATTTGTCTGAATAGTTATGGTGTTTTTCACCTTGGTTGGTGTTTTTCCTTTTAAAAAATATAAATTATGTTTCATATAGAAATATCAACAATAACAATAGTAACTAGAGGGCATAAGCTGCTTCACTGTGTGGTTGTGTTTTAAACACTTAGCATGTATTATGCCATTTAATAACAAGGTAGGTACTATTATCATCTCAGTTTTGCAATGATGAAACTGATACTTAAGAAGCTGAGGAACTTTTTTTGGTTATAAGACTAGTGACTGACACACCATGATTTTGAACCCAGGCCTTACTGACTCTACAACCGACCTTCATCATAAAAACCATAATATAAGAGCAAAAAGAAAATTTATACATCTTTAGTTCAACTGTTCTTTCTACATATGAAGAAATAGACCAAGCAAGGTTAAATGCCTTACCTTAGATTACAACTAGGAAATGGGAGAGGCAATTTCATTGGTTTCCATTTCCCAGGAGGCTATGCAGGCATATACCATTCTATCTAATTGGTTAGCTTGTATTAGGTATCTTCTTTGGACCAATCTGCTATCACAAGAAGTATGGCCATGCTATACAGAATTGTTCAAAATGGATGCTACCTTGCTTCCCTCTGCTAGGGTTAAAGAAATCCTTGTAGCTGGGAAAACGACAAAAGCTGTTGACTGTATGGGGTTGTTATCTCCCAGGCTGGAAGCCCACTTCTAGCCAAACTCTTGCAAAGCCAGGAAGCAAGTCCCTGCTAGAGACTTTTCCATGTTATTAGCACTCCTTCTCCTTTCAAAGTCAGTCAAATCGAGGGTGAACCCAGTGTGCCTTCGTTGTCTTTGCTCAGTCCACTCTCCAGGCCCTGCTTCTGTGTTGAAGATAGATTGGGTTTGACAGATGGGAAACCAGCAGCAGTCCTGAGACTGGCTGCCAAACGGGACAGAGGAGGAGGTGATCTGATGGGTTGTGGCATTGAACTGCACGAATGAAGGCAATGAGTGGGGACCCTCCGAGGTAATAGTATTTTTCATCACCAAGTGAACAGGTTGAAGGATTGCAAAAGGGAGAAGGCAGCTACTGGGCAAGGCACTGCTTTTTGTCATCTACCTATGTTACAGTTTAACTTGAATGATGGTGTTGCAACATAGATGTATGTACCAATTGGACTTTTCTTTTAATAGTATATTTTTCTGACCAAAAAACTATTCTAAACTTATTTTAGAAAAGTATAAAGAAAGAAGTTGTGACCACTGAGATGCACACACAGGTGGAATGCTGATTCACTGTGACACAGTGGTGTTTCACTCTAGATGTGTGTTTCCTTGCCCTTTGCATCAGGCAGCCAGGCCTCTGTGCTCCGTGTGCCTCAGGGGAGAGTTGCATTGTAGAGATGAAAGCAGAAGTTGCCTATATATTAGAAATGAGGTTGGCTTTGGTGTTTTGAAGGCCCCTTGAGGGGACTGTATCCTGGGAGGAAAGAATAGCAGGGACTTATGTGAAGGGGAAGCAAGGAAATATGAAAGAACAGAAAAAGAGGTTGATTTTATAAGGTTAGTTGCTCCAATGGTCTGCTGCTTTGGAGTGCCCCAGTGCTGGGGCAGAACTTGGTGGGGGAATGTGATCATCTAGAGAAGCTGTGCGTTTTCCATAGGGACCCCTGGCCTTGGTTAAGAGTCCTACAGCACATGAAGCAGCCCCCTGCCCCTGACCCAGTACCAAAGTCTCAAAAGTCCTCCTGTCATGCATTTCTTTCAAACATGCAAATCTGAGCATGTTTCACAGCAAAAGATCCCCTCTGTAGGATAGAGAAACATATTCCAAGCAAATGAAACAGCATGTGCTAAACTATGAAGTTAATGGCACATGTACTGTGTACCAGTGACTGTCTCCTGATGGATCATGGGGTTGTGTTGATGAGCAGCTGGCTGGATGGGGAAGGGCTACTCATGGGTGGCCTTGGCTGCCATCTGGTGGAATCTTCATCTAGTAGGCCAATGAGTTTCAAACATATCTTAGGAGCACATAGAATTTTTATATAAAATCTCCTACAGAAACCCATTGGATCCTCATGCCATACTGTCCTCCACACAGCCTTGAATTATTGAAGCATCTCTCTGTGACCATAGCTATGGGTAATGGGAAACCCATTGTCTGATTAGATTGGAAGTTTAATATGATGACCAATGGTGGTATGAAGATACATTGAAGGGTGGAAACAGAGAATTTAGACTGGATGCAGAGACCAACTATGAATTTCAGTTTCTACTGTGAGCCTCATTGGATTTGATGGTAGACATTTAGTTACAATCCAGGGTCACACTCTTCTCTGACTTGGATTTAATTCCAGGACATGTTTATAAACATGGTAAGAAGCACCACTCATTCAAAACTTTATTGTAAAGAGCAGGAAGTTCACAAATTTTAACACATTTAATTGCTATAGTAACCCTATATGGTATATGCTCTTAACTTCATCTTGCAGACAAGGAAACTGAGTCTCAGAAAGTTGAGTGATTTGTCAAAGTCAAAAAGCTCTTAATGGTTAGATCTGGGATTTGAACTTAGATAGCTTGCCTCCTAGGATGCTTCAGTATCTCTGGTCTTAACCAGCACAGCTATAATGTGGAGGCATCTGGGGGAGTACACTATTTTGTCCTTGGGAATGATCAGTCCTCTCTAGCATCCATTGCCATTGCATTTATTTTTCTTTATTCATGTTCTAGTACATTGTCCATGCTTTGGATCCTCCAGAATGATTCATTTAGGTACTCACAACCTATACTGCACCTGGTAGAAACTCTTTGAGACAGGACTCTATCTACCCAGACCAGTGGTTCTCAACTGGAATTTTACCTCCCGGGACATTTGGCAATATCTAGAAACATTTTTGGTTGTCCCAGTTGGGGGTGGCAATTATGTTACTGTCGTCTAGTAGATAGAAGCCAGGGATGCTGATAAACATCCTACAATGCGCAGGGCAGTCTCTACAACAAAGAATTATTGGGACCCAAATGTTAATAGTACTGAGGTTGAAAAATCCCAACATAGATATGAAATTATATTTTAGCCATTTTATTTACAGTCTTGTTTTTTTCTCAGGGCTCCATCTTCCCAGGAAGGCACAGATTCCCTTAGCTCCACCAAATCTTCTGGAGTTTCTGTTACCTCTCCCTCCATCATGGCTCAGCACAGAGCTGGTAAAGGGGCTGGGACCTGGGTCCCCTTTTCAGGTACCCACGTAAGTTGAAACTCTCTCACTTACCCTTTGTCTATTTCCCTCTCCCTTCCTTTTATCTAGTCTAAATGTAGGAAGCTTTGCTCTTACTCATGTTCTTCAGAGTCTGTTGCCCATGAGCTCCCTTAATGTTTGAAACTCAAACTGCAAGAATTGATTACCTTTTTCCTTGCTTTGCGCTATGTAATCTCTTTCCTGGGGGCAATAAATATAAAAATGTCAGCCGCCTAACTGAAGTTTTACAGAAATGCTGGGACAACCATAGTTTGTCCACGCCAGCATTTTGCTATCTATATTTTGAGTTATACCGCTGTGTATGGAGATGTCACCAGATTTTTTGTGAAAGAAGGAACCCCTCTCTAGGAATTCATAAGCCATATAAGCAAATGATTCAAATGTGTTTATCCCAGGACTTTCCCAAAATATTTGTCCAGAAGTCTTGTGTTTTTCATGGAATCCCCCAGAAGAGTTTGCACATAATTTGGGAAATGCTGGTCTATGCTATAAATGTGGCCTTTATCAAAGCACTGGCAGAAATAAGAGGAAAGGTAGAAGTTAGACTCACTAGGACTCAATGAATGATTGGTCCTGGGAGGTAAAGAAGCAAAACGAATCAGTGAGAGAATATAGAAACTTCAAAATGGAAGGAACAAATTTTGTGTTTGGCCTTATATATCACAAAATATTAGGCACCAGGGGTTTTTAAAAGTATAAGCCACAGAATGACAATACTGAATTTATCTCTCTCCAGGATTGTTGTAATGGCTTTCTAAATGGTCTCCTAGATTTCATTCTTTTCCTCTTCTAATCTGAACACCTCGATGCCACCATAGAAATCTTTCTGAACAAAGATGTAATCATGGCATTGCTCTGATCAAAGAACTTCTGTGATTCAGTTTTGTGCAAAGACAACCCAAACTCCTTTGCATAGTGTTCATAGAACATTATGTCAAAATCTTCCTGAATATGGATTTAACTTTGTGTCGCCAGAATGAGCAGCTCTTACTCAATGAGATGTTGCCTTGCACTGCCAGTGCTTCTGTGCCTTTTAAGGACTCTGGGGAACAAGACAGGCTGTTCTAGGGGACTTGCATCTATTCCTGCATTGTGTGAATGCCTTTATTCTCTAGGATTTATACATATATCTGTAATTTAATCTTAGAATGGGAGTGTGTGTGGTCTGCTCTGCCCATATGGATGTCTTTTGTCTGCCCCTCTAGATCCACTCTCACCCTTGTTCAATCAGTTCTCTGCTCTGGAAGGCTGCCCTGCACGGACTGAATCTAAAGAATCCCTTGGCCTCTGCCTTGTAGTTGGTTTTGGTTAATGGAAAATGCTGACAGGAGATAGGACGAAGGCAGGAGAGTGAGATCAGAGTATATATCCCCAGTTCCCCCTAGAAGGGCACCGTAGACTGGCTGTGTCCCCTGCTGGTCACTGTTCCTCTCAAGGTGGCCTCCTCTATGGTCTCTTCTCCTTTCCAGGTTCAGTAACTGCCCTTCCCTCTGCTCCAACCCCTGGTTCCTGAGTATCCTTGTGGCTCCTGTATACCCTGACTATATGCGTGTAAATAGTCCTTTAAACATAAATCCTCTTCTAATATTTCCAAATTGAATGGTGGACTTCTTTCTCGCTGGGACCCGGACTGATATAGTTAGCCATCTGAAACACTTTGATTTTTGAATGTCTGTGAATGGTAAAGATTTACATGATAAAGAGTTGAATTACACAGGGACATGTCACAAGATGTCCATTTTTGTGTTTTACTTCACATCATTTCAAATGGTACCCTAAATTGAATATTCAATTTAAAAGTAATGGTGCATAAGGATATTTATTCACTGGTCAAGAAAGGCCATTTTATTTTGTGACCTATTGGCTGGAAAATTTTCCATTTCATTGACTAATGATTTTCCATGAAGATTAATGGGTGGGAGCTCTGGGTTGGTTTGGGTGATGGGAAGGACTTCATCTGCACACAGTTTTCTCTGGTAAGGTCCATGGGGTTAGGTGTGTTGGGAGGTTAATGGGAGCAACAGACCCAGGAATTATGGGATGGTTCAGTGACCAGAGTGTTTGAAGCTGTTCTTTAATATGTCTCCAAAGAATTTTAAAGTATAAGTAAGAGGCCATTAGCTGACTACAGCTCAGGAGTTGTCTTATAGATTCAGGCATGAATCTTCTTCAGGGGAAGAGTTATCCGAAAGAATCCAGGTAGGAATGCCAAATCTCGATAGTTTTTCTCCTCTAGATGGTTAAGGGCTTCAGTGTTGACTTTTGAAAGGGACAGCAACATGCCATTTTTTTTTTTTACAATAATAACTGATATTTAGGTCTTAGCCTATTTATTATTGGTTCATACTCATTTTTAAGTGAAAAAATATATTTTAAAGGTAGTTTTATATAACTTAATTTCATTTCTGTGATTCTAGCATTCTACCCATGTAAAAAAAATTTACTGATTCTCTTTTAAGACAGAGTGAATAGTGCTCAAATAGGGCAGACCAGAGATAGCGTGAAGCTTCCGGTGTTCTCATTCGCTATTTTTTGCTTGTAGATTTAGCCATCTAGATATTTATATATCTATCTATATAAAGCTTTATATCCCTGTGCTTTCCTTTTCCTAAGGAATCTTCTTTTGGAAATGGCAATACAGTAAGCATTTTCTTTGGATCTGTAGAGGGAATGGTGCCCTATGTATTATAGTAGCGATATTAGGACGAAGAGTAGCAAACGAAATTAACCACACTTTCCATGTCATTACAAGTGAGGCACTCCATGTGCATGAAGATTTTGGTATGAGGGATAAAAAGACAAATCTGTTGTACAGACAGGATTTCCTGTGTAGTTTTTCTGGTTTTTCATATACTGAAGTGTCAGTGTTGTGATCAGTAGTTCATGTTCAAGACATAAGATTAGGAAAGATCCAAGAAATCTCTTGACTGCTGTATGTAGTGCTCAAGCTCTTTTTTGTTTGTTTGGTTGGGTTGTTTTCTTTTTCTTTTTTTACCTCCTATAGTTGGACACAGAGAGAAATGTGTGTCATGTTGGAAAGAGGCTTTAGAAACAGGCATAGCTTTGGAAACTTGATATGTATAACTCACCAATTCTCACCTTGTTCACCTCTGTATTCACAGAGAGAAGCATTCTTTTGTACCCTAGGACTTGAACAGAAAATATTGGAGATTTATATTTTTTAAAGATTTAATAAATACACTGTGGGTGTATTTAACATTTGAAATTTTAGCTGTAATTCTGAAGTAGTATTAAAATTGGTAAAATGCTAATCATAATGCAAAACCTCTGAAAATGCACATTATTTTTTAAGTTATTAAATTACAGTAATGATAGAAAGTATCTTTCTTCTTTTTAAAAACTATAATCTTGTATTATATCTGACTGTGCTATTTCCTTGTGTTAGATCTCAAGCTTTCATTTATAACTATCAGTATAAAGATCTTTAAAAGAAGGAAAATAAATAGTTTTGATATTTATTATCGTGTCTAAGTAAGATAGTCAGGTTTTTTTTACTAATGTGGAAGCTCTTTGTTGTCGGGAATGCAAATATAAAATACATAAACTTGAATACTCTCAAAATACCTTCTAAATGAAGCAGTGTATTTGGAAGAGGGAAAACCACGGTGAGTCAGCTGTCTCCAGGTTCTGCTCTCAGAACAGTTACTGACTTGTTTAGTGACCTTGGCCATCTTGGTCTAACTCCATTTTCGTTTTCCCTCCTGACGCGTGGAATTTCTTTCTAACCTGCTTTCCCTGGATGTACTTTGGAAGAAAGTTGCCATCTAAATACCATTAAAAACAATAGTATTTCCTATCTCAGGAGTGAACTTCAACCTGGAATGTAACACAATCCACTGTTTTTTTTTTTTTTTTTTTTTTACTTTGTAATCCTTACCAAAGATAAAATAAAATAAAATCTAAGTATATTTTAACGGAGCACTCTGGGATAAATGACTAAAATTTCATTACCATATAAGAATTATATTCTATATAGATTATTTTACGTGTGAGAACATGGCTTAGCAAGCTGGCAGCTTGAAAGTCCTTGCTTTATTAGTTAGCAAAGGCTCTGGGTTTTATCACAGTTATTGGCAATCTCAGTTTTTGGGTGCCAGGAATTGAAAATGATATGCTCAGCTGACCCTTTAATTAGCTCTCATTCTGTCTTCCATGATTTATAGCCTGGCGGCTCACGTGTAAAAAAGATATATGATTTAATGAAGTGGAGAGGCAGACTTGTTTTCTGCCTCCGATTGTTTAATGCTTTCCTCTGGCTGGTGACTGGAGCTCCAGCGGCAAACAAAGCAGCAGTTATATCCCCTGGTACAAGGACAGGAAGGTCCAGTTTGCTATGATTTGTGATTGTTTGCAAAGATGCTTCTGTTTCATTAGGAACCAAAAGAATTGATTCCGGTATCTTGAAACAGTCTTTTAAAAGAAATACAAAAGGCTGTGGACTGAAATTCTCTTATTTCGCATTTTTATTTTATTGGTCTGAATGCAAATATTGTGGGGAAAGCAATACAGCATTTAATCTGCAGGGCTTTGCAGTGGTTTAGCACCATCGGTCCATTAGGTCCGTAAGTGTTTATGGCGCACATTAGGTATTGATCGAGTCACTGAGTTACAGCAGTGACCAAGAGAGACAAGGCCCCCTCCTGGGAGGACAGATAAAACACCAATAAATAAATGCGTAAATATGATCATTTCTAACTTGTGCTGTGGGGTGAGTGCCCGAAAAAAAACAATTTTAAACAGGGTGCTCTGAGAGCACATGCGGGGAATGGTGGGCTGCTCTAGAGCTGGTGTCAGGGAAGGACACTCAGATGGAGGGACCCCTGGGCCAAGACCCACAAGATCTGAATGCTGCAGAAACAGGAGGGTCCGGAGGCTGAGCTTCCAGAGCAAAGGGCACAGAGAACACAAAGTCCAAGGAGGAAGGACCTTGATGGACATGAGAAATACGGACAGGAAAGTGAGGATGA